TGCAGACTGTTGAGGGTTCAGCCTCCTGATGAGTCGGTGAAACTCCGACGAAACAGTTTGTCACAGCCCCTCGTTTGTTGTCCTCTTCTCTCTCTCTGCCTACGGTTTTACAGGGCAGTTCTGTTTGTGACGATATATATATACATAAACTTTTACGGAGAGGGGTCGTTAGAGGTATATGTAGGCAGATGCAAAAAACTTGAGAAATGTGCATTCCTGGGGTAATAAGGAGTTTAAACTCAAGGATTAGAGGACTGTAGGCATAGTAGGCAGGGTTAAAAACGCGGGAAGTAGATATTACCTGTGGGTGGGTTAGAGCTGGCCAATAGACATAGGCAGGGTCATTAACTTGAATAAATGATGGATGACTGGACTGCAGTAAAAAATAAAATAACTTCAACCGCGCTCTCAAAGAGAGAGATTGAAAATTATGGTTCAGCGTACTTACTATACAGTTCTGGTTGATATTTCCGGGTGAAAATTATGGTTCAGCGTACTTACTGCAGTAATAACTTCAACTGCAGTCATTACTATAGTAAGTACGCTGAACCAGAACTGCAGTTAAAAATGTGGAAAGTAGATAATACCTGTGGATATTTCAGTTCTGGTTCAGCGTACTTACTATACATGCATGGGGATTAATCCGAAGCAGGCATTGCCCCTGCGCAAGGATGACATGCATAAATCGAGAAAGAAGAAGAAGAAAAAAAAATTATGATGAGAACGAAGAAAGAGATTGTGTGGAATGCAAATACGGAGGATGAGAAGTAAAAATGAAGTATAACCGAAAGCAGAATTAGAAAAAAAGAGAAAAAAAAGGAATATATACTAATATGGACTGTGTCTACATCCGAACTTTGTGTACAAGTACGGAGGATGAGCAGGATTGAATCACGACTACCTCCAAAAAAAAAAAAAAAAAAAACAATCTCGCCACCGCTACCGCCGAGCGTCCTTTTGTCCGAGGCGGAGTGGAATTCTGTGCCAATCGGAGGCCGATTCGCCAGCATGGCATTTTTGTTTTGGTTTGTTTTTGCGGGCGCTACTAGCCTTTTTGATCCGGTAGCCCCGGGCTTCCGCAGGGCCTCCGAAGAATGCGGTATGGGGTTCTATTCCCACCTGGACTTGGGACTGTAGCCTGAAAGGTAGTGGTGGTTTGAAAGCAAAACGATGGAAAGTAAATAAGAAAAGACTGTGAACTTCATCCACATCTGAACTTCTGGTGAAATTGAGGCTGTGTGCAACGGCGGCACAAATGGGCCCAGGGAAGTTCAGGATTCCCACCTGGCAGAGGGTTGGACCTGGTGCGTTCTGCAAAGCGCTGCCTCTATGTAAAAAAAATGGAAGAACCCTGTAAAATTGCATAAATGAAGTAAATCCACTTTGCTCGAAGACTTATGGAAGGAGGGCAGTAGGGTACCGATGACCGGGTACCATGTCATCGGTGGCCCGCCCCTCCTATTACACTCATGTGAAGCACTTGGTTTCTAATCTTTTTTTTTTTTTTTTTTTTCACTTGGTTTCTGACCTGGTCTGCTGAGAATATGCAGTCGTTAGGCAGCAGCCCAAGTTCCGATACGGTGGTTGTTTAACAAGAAGAGATCAGAAGCATTTGCTTAAAAAAAAAAAAAAGGTATTATTATGAATAAAGTTTATAAAAACTGCACTAAGTTACTAACAATTAGATTGGAGCATTTGCTTAAGAAAAAAAAAAAAAAAAGTTACCAACAATGGTTCTATGAGGAATGTGTGCGGATCAAGGACTGTGTACCTGTCACCGTTGTGGTGAACATCGAGCTTGCTCACCAAGCCGCCTCCCCCCGCCCCTCTTGCCCCCACCCTGAACCCCCCAAGTGATGACAAAACAGATCACAGACTGGACAAGAGAAAATCATTATGCTGTCGCAGTTGATCAACGCTTTGGAGGCTGGGTTTGTAACAGTGGGCAGATCATATTAGACCTGGCAGCAATGATGGAAGAAGGAAACTCGCGTCAGCACAGGTTTCCGTAAATGTGTGTGTGTGTGTGTGTGTGTGTGTGTGTGTGTGTGTGTGTGTGTGTGTGTGTGTGTGTGTGTGTG